AATTTTGAACACGTTCACAATTTTATTATGAACATGGATAAGAAAATCATTAGTGACTCTATTTAATGGGATTCTTTAAATATTGGAACAAATATGGCGATAATTAGTTTCCAATGTCTAAGTGATTGGTGGCATATGGCAGTGGGGGGAAAAAGGAGAAATGAGATCAGTGGAAAAGATGCAAGCACATGAAAAACGGAGGCTTGATAAGCATGCCACTATACGAAACCTAGATTGCGATTTTTTGCAGTAAAGAATAATGTATTTGGCGAAATAAAAGAAACAAAATATATTTGCAACCACTTTTTTTGTATCCCACTTTTATTTTCTGTTCTATCTCTCTGTAAATCCATGTAAAGTATTTACTCTCAAAATGCATATCAAGATTCCTTGAAACCCTCTTGTTATAACCCGCCACCTACCAATAGCATGTTAGAAAGCAGCACATAGGTCTGGACACATTCGGCATAATTTATCTCAAGTTAATAAAACAATAGCACACTGTAATTAAGATTTCTACAAAAGGCACAGAAAGATCAATTTTTACAGGTGAAGACTGTGCTAACATTAAGAGGCCTCAAGTATAATGTAACAAGTTGGATCAGTTACTAAAACCCTTATAAAAAATTTGAGATGAAAGATTTGAAAAGCAGAAAGACAAGCATAGTATGGCTTAAAGTATGGTAAAAAAGTTCATAAATGAGATGCTCATAAACACTCAAATCCTTTAAAATCTTCAGGTAAACGATTTGGAAAGCAGAGCGACATGCAGAACATGGCTGAAGCATGGTAAAATTGGCCGAGCAGCGAAAATCCCACTTACTAAGAAACATCATAACAAAGATTGCATGCGAATAGCAGACCGTTCTTGCTTGATCAACCTCAAATCTAATTTAGGAGCAGCTCGGACCGCCACAGTAGTCATGGCACAAGCAAATGCATCATCCACCACAAACGTAGATGAACCAGACTAAAGCATAAAAAGACAAGGATGCAAAACTTTGCATATGAGAGGAAGGGAAGTCATAAGCTGAGGGTTCTCTTCAGTGAAAAAAACTGTGTTCATCAAATTAGGCATCAGGAAAGCCGCACAATCAAATTGCACAGCAAATCTGGAAATTAAATGAGAATGAAGATTTCATTCCAGTGGAGGAGCCATAGGATCGTCTAGTTAACAATCATATCCAAAAACGTAGATGAGTCCGACTGAAGCATCAAGATACAAGGAGGCGGAACTTTGCATATTAGATAAAGGGAACTCATAGGCTAAGGATTCTATTTAGTAAAGAAACTGCGTTCATCAAATCAGGCATCACGAAAGCTACACAATTAAACCGAGTGAGAAATCAGGAAATTAAATGAGTTGAAGATGCCATCCAAGAAGCCATAGATCTTCCAGTTGATTAACCTGGAGTATCGCACCATATGCATATTAGCGACAAAACAAGATTTCATCCAACTCACAAAAAATAATTGAAAATAAACCATCGAGAAGCAATTATGAATGAATACTTTATGGCAAGACATTCAAAAACCAGGCTCTAACTTTTGGATAAGAGATCTGACCAGGAGCACCGGCAAGAGACAATCTAAACACAATAAAAGAAGAAAGCAAAAGGAAAGACACAATACCTCTGACCCACAATTCGGGTTCCGCGCTTCCTTGGAGAACGCCCTTTCTGAAAATCAATCAGTGCTCTCTCCAACAGAGTCCTCCGAGATTCTCACGTCGGGAAGAGGGGAGAGCAATCTGTACAAGATAGATCAGTATTAATTCAAGAAGAAGACGGATATACGTTTCTTATTCGATACTGGAGTATGAAGATCTCACTTCATAAATATCTTAATAAATGAAATTTGCGTTCAAAGCATGACATAATTTAAGCATAAAAAAACAGGGACACAAAACTTCCATAGCATAGAGGAGAGGAAACCTTAGGCCTAGGAAGTAAAGAAACTGCGTTCATCTAATCGGGCATCGGGCATCGGGCAACAATTAACTGCGGAAAAAGACATGGAAAACAAATAGCCAGACGACATCCACATAAAATGCTTGGGTAAAAGCTTTGTTTCGGAACAACATCAACAATCTAAACACAAAAAAGAAGAAAGCCTAAGGAGACAGCAGAAGAATACCTCTACTTCTCTTGGAGGCTTTGGAAGCGAATCAGTTGTCTCTGTGCTCCGAATACAATGACGGAACTGAAAAGGTTGCACTTATGAACGGTAAAATTCGACCGAGGTGGAAAAGTAGCCGTTGGAATGCAAAATTAACACCCGAAGAACGCTGAGACTTGGCCGGCCCGCTACACAAACCCATGAAAAAAAAAAAAGGTTATATATTTAATATCTGAGAGTGTTAAATTATAGATTTGTACTTAATAGGCTGGCAAACAAAAAAAGATTTGTACTTTATTGCTCTCATTTGCCAGTCACTCATAGGTGAAAACAATAAATGAACTGCAATTTTTTCTCTGAGTAATATAAATATTTTCTCTATTGTAAAAATAAACATTTTTATCTAAGCAATAACATTGTCAAGACAGATTCTAAAGTATATCATTTAATTAAAAATCATATTAAAATAAATTTTATTTACTAATTTTTCCCTCCCCATGCTAAATTCTTACTTTATCTTTGCAAAAATTTTATCAAAAAAAAAAGTTGCAGAGCAAGAAAAAATATTTTATTTTATAATCATGTGAGCGTGCTTAAATGGTGTCTTTTTTTTGTCAACATATGTATATTTAAAGGATTAATAAATAAGTTTAAATAAACAAAAGTAAAAATTATTGCAATAATAATAATTTAGAAATAAAAAAGTAATTAACTTTATAATATGGTCAAGGTTAATCAATTTAATAATATAAAATTTTGTAAATATAAATTAATTTTCTTGATAAATAGAAGTGTTCAGATATTTTTAAGTAATATTTCTGTTAACAAGAAACTTTTTTTGTTAAAATAAAATGTCAAGTACAATTTAACTGGCACCAATGTAATACTTTTTTCAATGGATGTTTATATAAATTATTAAAATAAATAAAAAATTTCTTTGGCATTAGTTAACCAGAAGAAATGCTACTTAAAAAAAAGGAAATGGTAAAACTAAACGGTCAAAATAGAAAAATTCCATACAAAAACCCGTTTACAAAAATTGTTGTCAAAACCTATATTAATGTTGTCATAAGTCTCTATTTGTAATTTTTTTATTTTAAAAGTTTCGTTTTGCCATTTTTCCAGAAAATATTACAGGATATTAGTGTGCTAAATAAAAAATTTGTTTATAATAATGTGAGTTTGCTCCAATGATGTTTTTTTTTTGTCAACATATATATATTTAAAGGATTAATAAAGAAGTAAGTTTAAATAATCATGTGAGTGTGCTTGAATGATGTCTTTTTTTGGTCAATATATATATTTAAAGGATTAATAAATAGGTAAGTTTAAATGAACAAAAATAAAAACCATTGCAGTAATAATGATTTAGAAATATAAAATTAATTAACTTTATAATATGGTCAAGGTTAATCAATTTAATAATATAAAAAATTTATAAATATAAATTAATTTTTTTTGTAAATAAAAGTGTTTAGATGACTTTTAGGTAATATTTCTGTTAATAAGAAACATTTTGTGAAAATAAAATGACAATAGTATTCATCCAGTCCTAAATATAAGATTCCTTTTGTAATGTATAATTTAACTGGCAACAATGTAATATTTTTTAATGGATGTTATATATATTTTTTAAAATAAATAAAAAACTTCTGTGGTATTAATTAAATAGAAGAAATGCTACTAAAAAGAATATTACAGGATATTAATGTGCTAAAAATTAAATTTAAAATAGTGAGTAATAAAATAAGACATTAATATAGTTCTTGATTCTTTAAATTTGTCTTCATTTTGGTTTTAATCTCTTTAGGTTTCTTTTTATTTATAACATTAGTTCTTATAATCTGATAAAAATCTGGATTATTTCAACGCTTAAAGGACTAAAACCTATAATTTGAAACTTGAAAAACCAAAACTAAAATGAGAATAAACTCAAAAGACCAAAGATTATATTAATCCAAGAAAAATTAATAAAAACCAAAAAATTTAAATTAAAAAAAAGAAAAAAGAAAAAAAAAAGGAGGTGCATGGCTCATCCCCAAAAGCTGTCGTTTGGGGATGAACATTCCCCGCTTGATATTTTACAAATTCTCTTTCTTGTTTTTTTTTTTTGGCCCTGAACAAATTCTCTTATTTAAAGTTAACCAGTGTTATGCAAACTTTAGTTTATTTTATTAAAAAATATAAAAGATGCATCATTCATCATCATTCTTCAATTCATGAATTTAAATTATACTATTTCGATGGCAAAAGAAAAATACACTATTTCATTTTCGTAGAAAAACCACTTGTAATCTACATTATCCATGAGTCATTCTCTACATTTGTATCTCCCAACAAGCTGTTGAAATAAAATCTATGGAAGGTTGAGACTAAGCCAACCTTTGTTGTCTCGCAAAGTTTCTCTGTTGGTAAGAAAACCTTTCAGGTGTTGCACAAACACCTTTCCACAAATTAACACAAGGATCAGAACCAGAACAAATGCTCCTACAATCTCCACTCATATTCAAGTAACGACAAGCTCTTTGTTTGGCCCTTGTTGACTCTGTCAGATTCATATAGCTAGGTCTATGAAAAGTCTTTTCCTCCCTCGTTTCCTCCGCAAGAGTATTGCTGCTAAATGGTACACAATGTGATATGGATGTGTATGAAGTTGATGATTCAGGGCTATCATCAAAAGTGCAGCTTTCAGAACTCGAGGTTGAAGATGATGATGATGATGTCAGAGTCGATTGGCTTGTTGTAAGAGACCTACTGGAAATAAATTTCGGTCACACCATTCCTTCTTGCTTTGATCAACCCTTGTTCTTGAACAAGATCATTGCTTTTCCTGGACAATGGAGTGATAATGTCAGTTGAGTCATAATAGTTACCACCGTCCATCAACCTGCTTCCCATGGCTTCACTGTCATCCATTGCTCTAACAAGCTCTTGTTCACTGTCTTTGTGCCTCTTGCTTTTGGACTCCCACCCACTCGTGCCTGTTCAAATTAAAGAAAATTAGAACAAAGTTTAAGATTTTTGTTGCAAATGTTGTCTCTTCACTTGAGGATTTGATTACGCCTGAGTCTGAGACTGATCTTTACCTGAGCAGAAAGAGAATAAGCCATTTCTCTCTCCCTTTTGATGACCGCCTCTTGCTTCATTTGTATCTTTGCTTTAACTTCATCGACAGTTCCTGGAATGTCACACCATCCTTCCTGGAAATTTCAGGGACAGAATTTTACATGTTAAATAGACCTTAGTATCTGCTAAACTGTGAAGAGCTTGAAATTATGATACCTCAGCCTGCTTAACAGGATCTTCAGCTTGTCTGCGGTAATCATCTAATAATTTCTGAACAGCCTTCCCTTCTGGAGACATCCTTACATTCATTGCCCTCACACGTGCCTGAACTTTAACCAGAGCATGCATGCACCTTAGTGTTATAGCTGCTTGCTTTCTCACTCGCCTTCCTCTGAATATTGCTTGCAGCCTCACCACTGCCTTCAATGCCCTCAAAGCTCGTCTAGCCTACATCATGTATTGTGAACACGTTTAGCAGAAGTTTATAGCCAACAAGGATATGGAAAAACATTAGTGATTTATTTGATGTGATTCATCAATCATTTGAACTATGGTGATAAATGGTTTCCAATGAATAACTTCTGGCATATGGCAGTTGGAGGGGAAAAAAAAGAAAATGAAACGAAAGAAACAAGTATCTGTTTAGTGAATCTATCTGACGTGATTCTGCAATCACAATAATGTATTTATAAAAAAAACTATGGCACACTACAATTATTACTATTTCTACAACAGCCACACACAAAATTTAAAAAAAAAAGAAGAAGCAAGTTTTACAGGTGAAGACTGTGTTAAGATTAAGAGGTCTTAATTATAATGGAACTTTAGTTAGATCAGCTACTAAAATGTTCATACGTGAGACACTATAAACACTCATCCTTGAAAAGTTTTGAGGGAAAGGAATTGAAAAGCAGAGCAACAAGCATAGTCTGGCTAAAGTATGGTAAAACATCCCACTTACTAAGAAACCTCGAAACACAGATTGAATCCGAATGGCAGACCATTCCTGCTTGATTAGCATGAAATCTTTAGGAGCAGCTCGGACTGCCACAGTAGCCATGGCAGAAGCAAGCGTATCATCCACCGCAAACGTAGATGAATCAGACTTCTCTGAAGCAGCTTCGCGTTCCTTCTTGATGCTTTTCGTGGAGGACCCAAATCCAAAACCTTCTGAAGAGCTTCTCCACAGCCTCCACTTCTTCTTACTCTTATCCCCAACCTTCTCCTTTTAAAATCCAAATCCAAAAGCAGAGCAGTTATAAAAAACACACTTGAAGTAACAAGCTGACAGAACATGAAGAAAGTAGCTAAGGGACTTACAGGGTCATTGGAGGAGGGCTTTTTATGAGAAATGAGGGATTTCAACCATCTTCCTGAAAACCCATTTGGTAAAGAGATTATCTTTGAGCAGGACAGAGAAGATCAGATAATTCAAGTCCTGAAAATGTGATGTGAATGTAGACGGGCTACAGAGGTTACGAGTTTTCCTGGGGTTTCTGAATTCAGAGCGAGGGGCTGTCTCTACTTATTAAGTAAGGCGAGCATGAGACAAAGCAGAGACGAGAGCGTCTTAAAATTTGTTTTGAAATTTGAAATTAAATTGTCCCTTTGTTTTTTTTTTGCAGAAAAAGCGGGTCGATAAACCGTAACGGATATCTGAGAGCGAGGTCTATTTTCCTCACGCTCCCTCCGATTTGACAATTGCGAATGTCGACGTCACTAGCCGGTAATAGGGCTGGGCTCGCGGGCCCAGCCACCGCAGCCCGCCAAAAAAAGGCGGGCTTGGGTTGATGTTTTCCCAGCCCGTCATGGTGGGGTACTCTAGCCCGCAACCGCTTTTCGTGCTCCGCCGCGGGCTTAGCCCCGCCAGCCCGTTTTTTTTTTTTTTTTTTTACTTTTTCTGATAGTTTTAATACATTATATAATATAGTTAGATGATTTTGACCATTAAATTTCATATGGACATTACCTCATCTATATCAGTTATATATAATTAATTAAGCACTTCATATATATGTATGGTTATATCATATGAAGAGCACTATCCATCTTTATTTTTATATCTATTGTCGTTAGTATGCACGGCTTCATAAGATTAGATAAATATGATGATTTTCATATAGTCATACATACACACACATAAAATATTTACTTAATTAATTTGGATAAGAAAACTAGTTAAATTAATTATTTATAAAAAATATATATGTTAGTTTTTCTTAAATTTCTTCTAATATTATTAAATTAATTCTCTTTTTTTTTTTATTAGAATCCATTACTCAAGTTTAAAACTCGGAGCCTAATTTCAACATTTCAATATAGCTAAACTCATACTAATATAATAAATTTTAAAAAAAAAAATTTAGGCGGGGCTGGCGGGCTGGCCCGCAACCCGCCTTAGCGGGCTCGGGCTGGCAAAATGCCAGCCCGCCAAGGTGCGGGCTACTCACCCGCACCGCATTTGGCCCGCATCGCGGCGGGCTGGCCCGTATCCGCACCGCCCAGCCCGCTTTCCCAGGTCAGGATGCGCCCCCTCCCCCACCCGGACGACGTCGTTTCTCTTGGAGCTATTTATTCACCGAGGCCCAGCCCA